ATGGGAGGAGTTATCCGCCTCTCCGGAAATGGGGAGATGCTTCCGAAAGGGGATTCCTTGGGACGCTGGCAACTGAAGAGTGCCTGGCATTTCCTATCAGTTCCGTGGCAGCTCAGCCCGACCATTTGCAAAATTAATAGCAATGCTAATTGCAAAGCTCTCCTCAGGAAGCTACTCCCAGCATCAATCACATTAAGAGGCGCTTGCTTTTATTGCTCCTAATAATTTCTGCTCAGGCCATATGAATGAATGACTCAGGAAGTGCTCTACCAGTCGGGCTCCCGGGGGAGTGCACAAGCGTAAGTGAGAGCACGAGTGATAAGAACAGTCGATGAAACACAGCCTGAGCCAGGTCTCAGTGCACATCTCTGCCATTCCAGTGTAGAAGATTTGCTCAGCAGCTCTGGACTGGTGATTGCCAGAAACCACTGCACCGTTTCTTGGAACAACTCCACGGAATGCCCTGGTGATAGGTGCAAAGGATTCTAAGGCCCAGCAGGGAAAGACCAGGGGTGAGGGACTGAATGGGGAAAGAGGCTGGGAACCCCTTCAGTAGCAGATGCTTTGAACTAATCAGCATGTACTGTTCTCTGACGAGGCCTAAAGAAATTAGAAGAGAGGAATGACTCCTTGAGACCCACTAGCGATCTTGCTATGCAGATTGGAGACTGTGGATACTGGCACGACAGAGAATCTCAGACTAGACAGATCAGCAACAGGGAGATGCACCACTTTAATCATAGACTATCAGGGTTGGAAGGACCTCAGGAGGTCATCTAGTCCCACCCCTTGCTCAAAGCAGGACCAATCCCCAACTAAATCATCCCAGCCAGGGCTTTGTCAAGCCTGACCTCAAAAACCTCTAAGGAAGGAGATTCCACCACCTCCCTAGGTAACCCATTCCAGTGCTTCACCACCCTCCTAGTGAAATAGTGTTTCCTAATATCCAACCTAAACCTCCCCCACTGCAACTTGAGACCATTGCTCCTTGTTCTGTCATCTGCCACCACTGAGAACAGTCTAGATCCATCTTCTCTGGAACCCCCTTTCAGGTAGTTGAAAGCAGCTATCAAATCCCCCCTCTCTCTTCTCTTCTGCGGACTAAACAATCCCAGTTCCCTCAGCCTCTCCTCATAAATCATGCTGGGAGCTGTGCCCCACCCCCGGAGCAGGGCATGCTGCTTTCTTTAGCCTAACTCTGCTACCAGAGAGTGCGATGCGTTGGTTCAAGCACAAGGGTGGGCTACAACTCGGGTTCTCGTAACGAACTCTGCCAGTGATTTGCTGTGGGTGAGCAATTCACTTAGAGCTTAACTGTCAAACTCAGAGGAGTAAATGTAGGCACTTAAACTGATAATTTAGGCACCTAAATAACTAGTCTGACTAGCAGTAGTGCTAAGCATCCCCAACTCCCTTTTTCAACACTGCTGACAATTAGGCCGGTTATTTAGGCCACTAATCTCAGGTGCCCAAATGTGAAGATGCAGCCTCAGTTTGCCAGTGACATTGGGGATAATAAATCCCCCATCTCTTACGGGTTTTGAGGGTTAAATAATGTATGCAAAGCGCCTTGATATCCTCAGACAGAGGATGCTGCAGTCCACGAATATTAATAAAGCTAGTGAAATGAACCTTAGGTTTCAAGGGAAGTTAGCGTTAACTATCCCTGTATATGACACAAAAACCTTCCAGACTGCCAGGGAAATACAGAGCTGTCTGCTTCAGCATGTCCCCCATCTCCCCTTAAAATACATGCTATCTAGAGAATAAGATGACTTTCTTTTTTTGTAAGAGTCAGTGGAAAAAACTCCTAAAACTCTTTTTTGCGTTTAAAGCCGATTAGCCGTTGTGCAAGGTAACGTTACCATTTCCTCTCTGGGGCTCTTCATGCTGGTTTAGGGCAATCAATAATGCTGCCATTCATATGCACAAGCCCTGACCTGATGACCGAAGCATGTGCCAAATCTTCAGTGACTGGGCTCTGTAATGCAGCGTTCCCTTGGCTGGCAGCGTTCCGCAGACATTACACACCAGGCCTGTGTACCAGAGAGCAGACTGCAAGGTGACAACGTTACAATGGCAGCATTGGGCACTCAAGACCCTTTCTGCTTCTCCGGTCCCCTGATATTTCCCAGTGTAACCCCCCTCCTATCTTTAAGGCCGTCAGGCTTCCCAGCTGAGGAGAACGGATGGCACAGCCCTTTGCAGAGCCAATCAACAACAGTTCCTTGGGGCTCATTCAGTGCCGGTTGAAGTGAGTGGAAAGCATCCCATTGACCTCAATGGGCTTTGGCTCAGACGCCTCAGCCGGTTAGAAACACCCCCGCCCCCCCCACCGCATGCTGCAGCTCTCCCAGATGAGGATTACGCTCAGAAATGGAACCGGTCTCTCCTAGTGAGCTGCACAAGGGCATTGCTCCCAAACCACTGGGGTGGCTCAGCCGGCAGCAGGGTTGGAAGAGAAGAAGTCAAGGTGCTCCTATAACCCCGTCCCTCCCAACTCGACTAGAAACCCTCCTTCTCACAACTCATGGCTAAAGGTGGGCGCGGACATTCTAGTTAATTCAGGATCTCTCCAGCAAAAGCACTGTCTTCAGCCAGATGGTGCCTATAAGTGCTGCTTTTAGAGCAGACAGAGGAACACAGCCAGGAAAGATGGACAGTGGATAAGGCCCAGGACTAGGATTCAGGAGACCTAGGTTCGAGTTCTAGCTCAACTACAGACTGGGACCTTGGGCAGGTCCCTGGTCTCAGGGTCTCAGTTTCCCTATCTGTAAAATAGGGATCATACTTCTGTCGTCTGGTCTAGGTACACTGCTTTTTAAGCCACCGTCTATTAGTACAAAGGCGCCAAACTCTGATGGAGGCCCTCGGTGCTACCGTAATACAAAGAATAATAAAACAAACAACAACATTTGCTTTGGGAGCCTTCATCTACCAGCTCAGAAATTAAATCAGGTTGGATTCCAGAGTCTACCCGTGAACCCAGATCTCACGCCAGGCATTAAGCGGCATGGGGTTGGGGGGTGGGATTTTGAGCAAAAATCCATCCAATGCCATATACCCTCTGTGTCTTCCCACTGAAGTCTAAACCCATCTGCTTCCTTCTCCCATCTCCGACAACGAGACGGCTTGAGGTTCTCCTTCTGGAGACGCTAGAATTTCAAGATGTTCTTTGACATTTCCATTTGTGTGCAAAATATCGTATTCATATCGGTTCTTTGAGAGCATTTGGCAGCACCATGGCAACAAGCGCATCACGGGAACAAAGCATGATTTATATGACTCTTATCTTTAATGATCTTCCCCATTTCTATTCCGGTCCTCACACTACGAGAGCCACACGCCTCTGTGGTCAAGTTTTAACCTGCTGCATGTACCTTTTATTACACATGGGAGGGGTCTTATTTACAAATTAACAGAGTGACAGGGATCTCAGTGAGTAATGGCCATTTTGGTTTTGAATATCAGGAAAATCCGGGCAGTGCTGAGGACCCAGGACTAGAAGAGCAAGTTACACGTGGGAGTCCGCACCTGAACTGGCAGAGGGCTGCAGACCCAAGACTGAAATAAGCAAGGAGCGCTGGAAGAGAGGAATAAGGCTTATTTGCCAGAGTGCAAAGACCCAGGAATAAAATAGCACAAAGGCTGCAGATCGGGACTGAGTGGTCTATTTTCTGGTGTCAACGGTCCAGGGTTCACTACCCAGAGCATCAT